TTATTGAATTTTAATCTATGTAGCGTTTATACGCCCGTATAAATATAACTAATTATATTTATATATGTGGGTGATTTATGGCTCTGGGTTTGGTAATTTGAATCTGGAATGTGAAGCCTCTTTGTGTGATTATGTATGAACAATCACCTAAAAGCTTCAATTGTGTTTGGTTCATTCTCTTAGTCGTTACATCTAATTTTATTTTCCTCTGAAATGTGTATCAATTTTCATATTATGTAGACTAATAAATGTGTGCATGTGCATCAGGCCGGGCCAAAAATCCATTTGCTGTGCAACCTAGCTATGAAAGGTGGGCTCCATGGATAGGAAGCAAGACTATGTAACGGGTGTCTGCAGTATTTAACAATTAATTAAATTAAATTAAATTGCTATTGATGCAGATAATTCATCAGAAGATTTTTTTTAAGTTCGTAAAGGAGGTAGCGGGTTGTGGTGAGAAACAACAGACAACACAAGATAGTTGTGAACTGGTATGTAATTTTGGTTCCAATGAAAATACACAGGATTAGGAAAAGTAATTACAATGGCAATTATACACACAGTTCAAACCTGACAATTTTCCCCAGAGTGCACTCTTCTTTTACCCCAAAACATACAGACAATTGGAATGACAAAATAAAATAAAATAAAGTGAATAAAATACTGAATAATGGAGTGGTGTTTTTTTCTCTTTTTTCTTTTAAACACTCTCTCACAATATCACATATGTCAATCGTTTGATTGAACAAGAACCTCTGTATTAATCAAATTCAAATTAATCAAAGTGTCTTATCAGTCTCTGTATTCGGTTATCAATCTTGGAAAAGAAAGAAGAAACTCAGTCTCTAAATATGACTTGTCCCGCTACTGCAAGACTGGAGAAGGAAAGAAAAGGATATTGTCCTCTTCCCTATACGAGTTGTGATTCTTTCACTGTAGTAGATTCGGGTGGCTCGCCATCAAACTGGAAATCTCTCACAGGATATCACCGATCATCACAATTCGCAGCACCAAAGACAAAATAGAAATACGAAGAACAGAAAGGAAAAGAGAAAACAAAAAAGAAAGAGAAAACAAAAAACCTGGCCTGATCTCAGACCAGAACATCCATTTAGTGATTTCAGATATAATTTCACATCACAGATCAAAACAGTCAAAATATCAATTAAACATACAAATATCATTTTTCAAGAAAAGATATTACACTATGTACCTCTAGAACAATCTTTTTTTCTTACACACACAGGCGCACGTGACCGATAATGGCGCCAGTGAACTGAAATGGAGGAATAACCACGCGGTTCACTATGACCACATTTATAATCATTTAGAATGAAATAATAAAATTAAACAGTAGAACATAGCAATATTTTTACACAAGAACTTGTATATTACTCATTTACCTCTATATAAATTGACTTCTGCTTTCACCCAGGTGCGTCTCACAGGCCCGCATGGCCAGCAATGGCGACGGTGAACGAATAAAATTTACACGATTCACTATCTCCTCTAACGTTGAAATACGACATGAAATTGGAAATAACATTGTTTTAGTCAAACGAATTAACCATTTTTCATCGTGTTGGGAAGTTTATACATTAACTCTTCCCATTTAAAAAGTTATGTTGACTCACCGGAGTAAAATGCAACTCACTCAGCTTCTCCATACACTGCACGGGATATGAAATGTATGAAATTAACGTTTTTCTAACTTTTCTCTCAACTATACACTTGTATCTTATCGCGAAGATCGACTCACGTGCTCTCTTCTCTATGCTCAACTCTTTCTCTCGATGGGCAGCGCAGGCGCCTCCACACACACACACACGCTCAGCGCGTGATGTCAGAGCATTCTCATTGGTCAATCAAAATTCAACTAATAACTGCTTTTCTTAAAGTCCCCGTGAACCGGAAGTTGCAAACGACTTTTCTCCAGTGTTGTGAAGTATTTCCGAGAGAAACGGAATACTAAATGAGGCAAAATAGTGGGCGTGGCTTTTTCCCAACTAGCACCTGATTGGATCTAGAAAAGTAGGTGTTTTCATTCAGCCTGTCTACTGTCAGTTGGAGGGGCGTGATTACGGATGTTAAGCAGACGCCCAAACCGTGAAACCTACGTCATCAGGCAAGGTCCTCCAACGCAGAGGGGAGGGGAAATTTCAGATTTTGATTAAAGATTACGAAGCCAAACATTTTTTTTGTGTGGATTGACTTGCATGGATGAATTGTTCACCACAAAACGATCAATTTAGGCAAACAAAGTGTCACGGTTGATGAATTCACTGACTGTTCCTTGCGCTGTGTTTATGTGTGTGTATGTGCACGTGTGTGGGCGTGGTCGCTGATTATCCTCCCGGAGAATCAGCGACAGGCAGTGATGGGAATAACGGCGTTATGAATAAACGGTGTTACTAACGGCGTTATCTTTTTCAGTAACGAGTAATCAAACGAATTACTGTTTCCCCCGTTACAACGCAGTTACCGTTACTGACAAAAAAAATGTGGCGTTACTATAATTGAACTCACTGAAGCGGCTTTCATCGGAGTAGGCTCTCTCTCTTTTCTCTGGTGTGTGTGTGTGTGTATGTGTGTGTGTTTATGAGGCGCCGGAGTGGACAAAAGCGAAGCGATTGGTGCGAGCGCGCTCAATGCGCGAGAGAGACCGAATGTGTCCGAGAGCGCGCTCAACAGTTGCGCAAGAGAGACCGAGGGTGTCCGAGCATTATATAGTTTGTTTATAAATAAATGACACATATCTGCAACGTTAATTAATTTACATGGTTATACAAATAAAATCTAAAAAATTACCGTCAGGTAACGTTCTGTTTAGGTTATAAAATAAACCCGAAAATAACCTGCAGGGAACATTCACAGAAAACATCTTTGTTTGACCGGTTGTAAACACGTGCGGCAAACATGTCTATAATTTGGCTTAAATAACCTCTGATGATGACGTTCGCTATAGGTTATAAAAATAAACCCCCAAAATTTTATATTTTAGTATTATATTTTTTTTGGGTAATTGTTCAGTATTATATTGAGAGAGCACTTGTTAAACTGTTTACTTTTGTTAGGAAGAAAATACTCAGGCTACAGTATGTCTACTAGTTGTGAAGTTGTGTAACAGTTTTATCATTTTAATATGCACAAAGAGTATGTATATTTTTTATTATTATTTATTCATTTTTGGTACATTTCTTAAGAAGCATAATTTATTTTTAAACGTATTTGTTGGCCAGTTGGGGTCTGTGCGATATTAAGTAAACCATCTATAATGTTTTATTGTTCTACTATAGTAATGCTAATATTTAGAATAATATATTGAATTTAATAGGCGTCTCTCACATTGTCCCACAGCAACATTAAAATAGAATAAATTATTATTATAAAACATTGAACACTAATCTACACTATTAAGTGTCCATTTCATTAATTTAACATATTTAATACTGGGGGCATCCAAATTATTTGACATAGGCCTATTTGATTTTTTTTTTTTTTAAGTAACGCAATAGTTACTTTCTCTGGTAATTAGTTACTTTTATAATGATGTAACTCAGTTACTAACTCAGTTACTATTTGTGAGAAGTAACTAGTAAATATAACTAATTCCTTTTTTTAAGTAACATGCTCAACACTGGCGACAGGTGATACTCGTTTCCAGTGCCTATTTATACTCACCTCATGCGTCTTGTGTTTGTCAGATCGTTGTTTGTGGATGTGTCTAGCCTGTTCCAGTTCCTTGGGTCCCAGTCTGTTTCTTCGTCGGATGTTCGCCTCGTTTCATCGTCATCGTGTCTCGTCTTCACGGAGGATTCGCTACACACTGACCGTGCACCTCTGAGTTGCTCACGCAAGCCTGGGTTGCCAACGCTTCTGTTCCTGCACTGTTTCCATTGTTTCTGTGAGTTCGTGAGATCGACTACATCAGACTGAGACTTTGTTCTGGTTATCTTCCTTCACGTTTCTGAGGCTGGCTTATCTTATTGTTCAATAAAGACCAGTTTTACTTGCACTTGTCTCCTCTGTTCACTATCCGTAACACAAAGTAAGTATGGTCAATTTTGAATTCATGGGGACTTTAAATCGCTCACTATTTTTCTTAAATCGCTTTTACACATCACTATTTTACCTTTATTAGGGAAATTAGATGTTAATAAATTAAACTTAACTTCCTTTATTTAACCTGTGTTATAACTAGGTAGGATAACACTGTATTGCATACAGAATATGCTAAAGTTGTTACAGCGAAGGTCACATCAGCTGAAGCTCAAATGATGAATGTCTCAGAAGACCGTCTTGTGGATGAGCTGATGAAGCAGAAGGTGGAAATCTTCATAAAATTCAACTTCACTTGAATCATGTGATCTTGAGAAAGAAGCATTGTTCTGACAATGTGCTTGCATTATTTAACAGGTCAGTGTTGTCCGAAATCTATGCAAGGCCTGTAATATTGATTCTAAGGGTTCTCGTATGGATCTAGTTTCAAGATTAAGAGCGGAGATGGAGAACAGGCAGTCATATGACAAAATGTTCCAGAAAATCTGGGGGAGCATCAGGTGGGCATATTACTTTAATGAGATGATAATTGAGAGATGATCATTTTACATGTCCTTATTCAGTTTTTATTATGGCTTTTCCAGGTGGCTGGTCAGTTATCCTATGCCCACATGGTGTGGTGTATAGTATAAAGTTCAATTTGAGAGCCGAAAGTCCCAGAGATTTTGCGGACCTGTTGTTGTCATGGAAGGACATTCCTAATGTCTATGACTTTGCACGAGGCTTGGCCACACATGGTAATTTGCGTGTACCCACTGCTATTCCATTTCAACCTCATGAAGGGAGACTAGCTGAGCCAACACCAGAGAACATAAGTTCAGCAAAGAAGGGCAAACTAAATGTCTCTCTTCCTTGGTTGTTTGAGAAGACAGACAATTTGAATACCAAATGCCATCCCATCACTGGATCATCTGAGCACTACGTGTTATATGACAAACTTCATGAATCGAACACAAAAGACCCCCAGGAAGTACTCAGAAGAATCAGCCTGGTCCCAGAGCTACAGGGTTGGCTAAATAGTCAAATAGCAGAACAGTTTTTTGCAAGCTTGCGAAAAAGCAACTGTTTCCTGAACAACATGGCACCATCAACGCAAGCTTCTGGAAGTACAGCTGCAACGTGGTCACAGACCTCATGGAATTGAAGATATCATCCTGTCTGACGTGGGACAAGCTATTCTAGGTCAGTAGCCAATAGTTATGCTGCATTGCTTTCTTTTATAAACCATGACTTTACAATAGTAACCTTGTTTTACCCTGGTTTTCTTAGCCCCACGAGCCAGTGAAAGAGAAACCGTCAGGCAACATCCACATCACATAAACCTGGACATTAGTGAGGGAAATTTTTTTCGATGATTTTTGCCTTTTTGCTAATACTACTTTTTTAACATGCAGAAGACTGTGGACCTCAATGTGAAGCATTCACCAAGTGTGAAAATATTTCAGCCTGTCGAGCTTCATGGACTTTGGGAAATCATCCAGCTCAAAAAGAACTAGTTAGTCTCAATAAATTATTAATACAGCTCTGTTTAACTGTGGGATTTTGAATGTTGAAACCTTTTTTTTGTTTGTTTATAGCTAAACTACATACTGGACATTGAGAGACCAGGAAAGGAACTGATCGTTCGAACAACGAATGCTGTCCTAAACCGTGCTGACTTTTGGACACTGGGCTTTAACAGAGACATGGAGTCAACTGTAAGATTACAGCTGTTTTACATTGCTTTATATATTTGTTGTTACATGGATTTATAATTAATATTGTAATTATTTTATTTTTTTTTCAGATTGGAAATGGTTGTTTTCAGTTGATTAAAAGCATTGCATGCTCAAAGGTATTTTAATTGTGTGTATTTATATATATATATATATATATATATATACACTCACCGGCCACTTTATTAGGTACCCCATGCTAGTAACGGGTTGGACCCCCTTTTGCCTTCAGAACTGCCTCAATTCTTCGTGGCATAGATTCAACAAGGTGCTGGAAGCATTCCTCAGGGAGTTTGGTCCATATTGACATGATGGCATCACACAGTTGCCGCAGATTTGTCGGCTGCACATCCATGATGCGAATCTCCCGTTCCACCACATCCCAAAGATGCTCTATTGGGTTGAGATCTGGTGACTGTGGAGGCCATTTTAGTACAGTGAACTCATTGTCATGTTCAAGAAACCAATTTGAAATGATTAGAGCTTTGTGACATGGGGGAAGTAGCCATCAGAGGATGGGTACATGGTGGCCATAAAGGGATGGACATGGTCAGATACAATGCTCAGGTAGGCCGTGGCATTTAAACGATGCCCAATTGGCACTAAGGGGCCTAAAGTGTGCCAGGAAAACATCCCCCACACCATTACACCACCACCACCAGCCTGCACAGTGGTAACAAGGCATGATGGTTCCATGTTCTCATTCTGTTTACGCCAAATTCTGACTCTAACATCTGAATGTCTCAACAGAAATCGAGACTCATCAGACCAGGCAACATTTTTCCAGTCTTCAACTGTTCAATTTTGGTGAGCTCTTGCAAATTGTAGCCTCTTTTTCCTATTTGTAGTGGAGATGAGTGGTACCCGGTGGGGTCTTCTGCTGTTGTAGCCCATCCGCCTCAAGGTTGTGCGTGTTGTGGCTTCACAAATGCTTTGCTGCATACCTCGGTTGTAACGAGTGGTTATTTCAGTCACTGTTGCCCTTCTATCAGCTCGAACCAGTCTGGCCATTCTCCTCTGACCTCTGGCATCAACAAGGCATTTCTGCCCACAGAACTGCCGCATACTGGATGTTTTTTCTTTTTCGGACCATTCTCTGTAAACCCTAGAGATGGTTGTGCGTGAAAATCCCAGTAGATTAGCAGTTTCTGAAATACTCAGACCAGCCCTTCTGGCACCAACAATCATGCCACGTTCAAAGTCACTCAAATCACCTTTCTTCCCCATACTGATGCTCGGTTTGAACTGCAGGAGATTGTCTTGACCATGTCTACATGCCTAAATGCACTGAGTTACCGCCATGTGATTGGCTGCTTAGAAATTAAGTGTTAACGAGCAGTTGGACAGGTGTACCTAATAAAGTGGCCGGTGAGTGTATATATATATATATATTTAGTTACTTAGAAATACCTTCAAGTTGTACAATATTCAGTTTATACAATATTGCAATAGTTGAGTTGACAGTACATATTTTGAATGGCACCTTCTACACACAATACCCTGCAGGGCAAGAACATTTATGTAGCTAATCTTCATGTTGTACCAACATGGCTGCAACCAAACAACTGTGATCCATTTTTGAGTCTACCTGTAAGTACATGTTGTTCTCTTCCCTGTTATGCATGCTGTTATGATGTGTTGACTAAAACTTTCTAATTCATGTCAGGATGATGCTCACTTGAAAGATGCCCTGGTGATTCCGATTTGGACACCAGGGGCCGTATTCACAAATAATTGTATCTTACCACTAGGAGTACTCCTAAATCACACTAAAATATTTTAGCTAGGAGTTTTGTCTTAAAAGTTATTCACAGCGCCTTTCAGACCCACTCTTAGTAAGGAAAAATGACAACTCCTAAACTAAGAGTGAGTCTTCGTTTCTATGGATGACGTCACTTCTCAGGCACGAGCTTCCTCGCAATGATCACGGTGATTGGTTGTTAGATGACAGGGCCATCATGCGGATCATAACACAGACGCAACAAATCATGGAATTACCACATCTAAATATGTCTGTGTCCTACACAAAATAATAATAGTAATGTCATCGAAATACATATATGAAATACACATATGACATGTTTGTGCAGGCCCCAGTGAAGTGTGATTCTAAAAAGGCAGAGAGAGAGAAAAGTCGTGAATTAAAATAAATTAAATCAAGGTAGCCTAATACCCTAATGAAAACCTCCACTTGCCTAATAATGAAAAACAACACTTGCATTAACACTTGCTTGGTTAATTGACATCCTATTAGCCTAAATAGACTAGTTAAAGCAAGGAAATGTTGCTCTTATTGAAGTAATGTAATAGTTGAATGACAGTGGATTATAAAGTCGCCAAAACGTAAAAGAAAGCCCAACTGGACGCAGGATCAGTTACTGCTGCTGGCCGAGTTGGTGCAAAAAAAAAAAAAAAAAACATAATAAAAGTGAAATTCGGCACTGGGATATCAAGCAAAAATATAGCTGCGAGCAGCGATTACGGGCCCAAGCCGGTGGCACCGCAACCCTGGTGCACCAGGGTGGCGGTACCGCCGGCTTTGGCCCTTCATCGCTGCTCGCAGCTATATTTATATATATATATATATATATATATATATATATATATATATAAAGCCGGTGGCTCGCCACCCTGGTGCCATTAGGGTTATTGTGCACGACGTGAAACAAAATATCTGCTCGCTATCTGTCGAACGGCTCTGGTAGTTCCGCTTCAGCACTGATGATGTTGTAGAAATAGTGTGCTCCGCTTGGTCTGGATTATTCGGGATTTTTTATTTTATACAGAAATAAGTTAGTGTTGATTAAAATGAAGGAAAACAAATATATTGATCTGAAATATAGCACATTAATTTTACATTTATTTAGGTTCAATTACCAAACATACAATCTTAATTTAATTTAAAGCAAACAATACATTTAAAATACATGGGTTGTATGAAAATAAAAAATAATGAAAATAGAGACTAGTAGGTTAAAATGATTAAATGTTAAAACGGCTTGCCATATTGGCTCAGAGAGAGAGAGAGAAAATGACATTTTAGATACAAGTAGCTATTAATAGATACTAGTATTTATTCAATAAATACTAGTACTAAGTCATTAGATACTAGTACCTATTAAATAGATACCAGTACTTATTCATTAGCTACTAATACGTATTCAAAATAATATCTAAAGAATACGCACTAGTATCTAAAGAATAAGCACTAGTCGCCAATGAATAAGTACTAGTACTTAATGGAATAGATACTAGTATCTAAAAAATAAGAACTAGTAGCATGAAAATAGACTAGTAGACTAAAATGATTAAATGTTAAAACGGCTTGCCATATTGGCTCAGAGAGCGAGGGAGAGAAAATGACCATATTCAAACCAAAATATCTAACTTCCTCTTGGTCTGAGCTAATGACAGTTAATTAGAAAGTTGTCCGGCTTGATCTGAACCATATGCATACCTGTGTCTGTCGAGTTTCATGCAATTTCAAGCATGCTAAGAGTCTCAAAAGCATCAAACAAGAATATTAAAGTTTGATGTGTTGCCACGGCAACAGTATCTAAGATATCAATAATCCTTTCACAGGTCTACATCTGCCGTGTGTTTACATTATACACATAAAGTTTGAAGCAAATCGGGTAAAAATAAGAGGGTGATTTCAAAGCATTTAGGAAGTGACACACTTCCTGCTGCCAGTTGGTGGCGCTATAACTTTGACTCACAATAGTCACATCCATGTGAGCGGGCTCTTACAACGAACACACTGTTGAAGTTTCATCAAGATCAGTTAATGTATGCAGTAGTTATGACACACTTCCTGTTTCACGTTTCTCGCCATAATTTTGTTTCCTCGCCACGGCCAAACCGTTCGAGATATCAAAAATCCCCTCGCAAACTTTCATCCTCAATGTCTTGACTTAATGCTGACCGAGTTTCGTGCCGTTTGTTTGAATTCTCTAGGAGGAGTATTTCACATTCCATTGCGTGTGTTTTACCAACAACCCTAAATAGCCGACTTCCTGTTGGGCTGGGGTAAAAAGTAAGAGTGTGAAGTATATATGAAACGAGGAGATCTACATGTGTACCGAGTTTCATATTATTACATGCAAGCGTGTTTGATTTATGGACCATGTTTTCGGACCCCGTTCCAGGGGGCGCTGTCGAGCCCCCCTGCCACGCCCGGGTACCATCTTCAGCCCGGCCCTGATGGCCGCGGGTTCTGACATGTGTGCAAAGTTTCAGGAGTTTTTGAGCATGTTAAGGCCTCCAAAAGTGTCCAAAAGGTAGCAGAAAAATAATAAGAAATATAGCTGCGAGCAGCGATTACGGGCCCAAGCCGGTGGCACCGCAACCCCGGTGCCTTTAGTTACCTAAAGGCACCGGGGTGGCGGTACCACCGGCTTTGGCCCTTCATCGCTGCTCGCAGCTATATATATATATATATATATATATATATAAAGCCGGTGGCACCGCCACCCTGGTGCCTTTAGGGTTATTGTGCACGACGTGCAAAAACGTAACCCTGCTTTGACTGTCGAAAAGAAGTGTGCTGTAGAGCTTGTATCAGTGTGGGCTCTGCAAAAGTGTGCATTGAGGGCACATATCAACCACAAAGTATGCGAGAGCAACCTTCTGAAAGGTCAGGTCTACATCCAGGTCTACATCTGCCGTGTGTTTACATCATAGTAGTGAAGTTTGAAGCAATCAGGTGATTTCAAAGCTTTTTGAAAGTGACAGACTTCCTGCTGCCAGTTGGTGGCGCTATAACCGGGGTGGCGGTGCCGCCGGCTTTGGCCCTTTCATCGCTGCTCGCAGCTATATTTATATATATACACACACAAACACACACACACACACACACACACACATATATATATATATATATATATATATATATATACATAAATATATATATATTGTTTTTTTAAGAGACAAGACAGAATATTACTTGCCTGATCTGATTAGAAAAATAGTGTTTGTGTGTGTGTGTGTGTGTGTGTGTGTGTGTGTGTGTGTGTGTGTGTGTGTGTGTGTGTGTGTGTGTGTGTGTGTTTGTGTGTGTGTGTGTGTGTGTGTGGCGTAATTGAACAATGTAGACATAAAAACATACTCCGTCCTTTTGTTCATACAGGACATTATTCAAACTGCAAAGTGTTTACTTATATTTGTGTACACTTGCAATAAAACACAACATTGTGCTTTTGTCAAGCTATAAACTCTTGTCAAACTGTAAACTACAACTGTCACCCAACCAAAATCTCTTACACACACACACACACACACAGTTTAAAAGCAAAAAATATCAAACAATCCTATTTAAAAACAGTCTGTGGGAGCCATCTTTTGGACATTCATCATATCGCATTGGTTTTCATTTCTTGTCATCAAACAGAGCCCTAATCTGTTTATTTTTTCAGTTACACATTCTACATTGATTAAAAAAGAAAAATCAAATGTGTTTTTATTTTATACAGAAATAAATAATCTATCATTCAGATGAGAATAAAGTTAGTGTTAGTTCAAATTTTAAGGAAAACAAATATATGATCTGAAATATAGCACATTCATTTAAAATTCATTCAGGTTCAATTACCAAACATACAATCTTAATGTAATTTAAAGCAAACAATACATTTAAAATATATGGGTTGTATGACTATTTTTTTATATAAAAAGATATATATCCAAAAAGACAAGGCCTAAAGTTTAACAAGGGTTAAACTCTTATCACTGTAACAGACACAATCACACACACAATCACACACACACACACACAAGTCAAATCACTTACATTTTACATGCAATATTGACTTTTTTTCTGTTTCAGCAGCGAAAATAGTTAAACAAAGATCACAGCAGAACCATCGCGCATCTCACAGCAACGCGTTCTCATTACTGAATGATTCAGCATTTTGAACGAATCGGTTGACTCAAAGATTCAATGACCAATCAATCCATAAACATCTATCTCATTCATGAATGACTCAGTCGTTCAAACGAATGAATCAATGACTCGCTCATTAAGACGGTCGCCTGGCGACACCTAATGACGGTTTAGTGTTATGTTTAAAAGTATCATTCTTTCCAACGATTGTTAATTAACTCATATTTGAAACATAAGCTATATTTATATATATACATACATATACACACACATACACAAAAATAAAATAAAAACACATTTGAAACGTGTTTGCTTACTAAATTGTGAGCTGAACGAAAGTTGCAGCAAATATCAGCAACAGGAGTCAAATTTCATTAATCACGAGAGTGAAGTGCTGACTGAAAAGATGATGATGGAATAGGCTATTTTATGTAAAAACGCCTATTTAAGCGAATCTGTCATTGTACTCTTTTATTGTTGTGTTTTCCGTGAAAAATAATAGACTATTGAACTCACAATTCAAGCAATCGGCCCCCGAAATTGCACTAATTTTAGTGACACTAAAAAGTATGCGGCTGCACTGGCATTCATAATGGTGCGCGTCCATGGCGACGAGCGAGCAGAACAGAGCGAACGTTTAGTTAATTTCTACTTCCATAGGAATTCATTCGAGCGCCACCATTTCAATGTCTGTGCGGACGTCCATATTATACTTTCGCTTTCAAGTTAGTGTTTTTAAACCCCCCAGCGGGAGGTTTACACAATTGGTTTACACAATCACACGTTGATTAACCGGTGGGAAAATATTCCCATAGTAACATCCCTAATATATAAATATT